TTTTAGTTTATAAAGAACCAGCAACATGTCAGCCTCAAACTGTGCACAAACCATCCCAGCTATTTCTCAAAACATTGGCAAAATTTTAGTTAATCTATCACAAAGTATATATTTATAATATTTGAAGTATCCCACCCAGGTGGCTGAAATTATTAGTCTCCCTTGCTTACCTAAATAAGAAATTATGCTGTTTGTGTACGAATCATACCTCTCCCGGCTTGGCTGGAACCCTTTCATGCCCGTGGTGCAGGATCAAAGCTTAGAGAAGCTTGAATGGAACTGATCGCAACAATGAATCCCTCCTTTTACCCACTTACCAGCCTTCACCCATCCCTGAACTCCGCCTCTTTCCTCTGCCGCTTTCCATGTGAAAGACGCATGGGCTTTGGAGGGCCGTGACGAGATTGAAGTTTTTCGTTTCACTCAAGGAGAGATGGGAATACCTGAAGTTTACGCCCAGTACACAGTTGAACATGGAGAAAAGGGGGCATGGGTTGAGGAGGAAACTAGAAAATTATATTTTCAGGAAGAAACAGAATTCATATTCCGGGGGTCAAAAGATACGCAATCGAAGGGGCCCAGCAGTCAGATGGAGATGAAAACCCAATCTGAGAAGGACAAACAGAAGGAAGGCAAGAAGATGGAGAACAGAGTACATAAGCGACTGATATTGAAAACGGAGTGCTGTAAGTTCCAGACGGCTGCGGGGCCGTACCAATTCTTAGAAGGCATGTTCCATGGAATGATGGGTGAGTATTTCCCCGTTTTGACGTCGCTCAGGACTGATGCTCCCTTTCTAGGCCACTATAATATGTATAAGGATGGATGGCTGCACCGCGATGTCAGCGATGGTAACGTTCTATTGTTACCAGAGCCCGAAATACGAAAGCCTCTGACACGGTAGGTCCTCTTAAATTGATAATGAGCTCAAAGCGGTATTGATGTCAAAGTATTCTAGGTTCGAATGCACCAAGAACTTGACAAAATGCGTGGGCGTGATCTCTGACGGCGACCAGGCAATCAGATGGCGAGAGCTAGATCGCAAGCTTGAGAAACGTCGTTCGGTAAGTAGCTCATCTTCGGGCTAGCCTGTTATTTAGTCTTAAAATCATTTCAGGAACACTCCCTTTCATTTCTATGCGCTTGCTGAACGCGTGGAATAAAAATCAACCCGTGCTTCATACATTTGCGGATGACTTGGAATCTTTCTTCTGGGTCATATTATGCGTGTTGTTGAACATTGGCCACGAACGTAAAAGCTTAACGATTGACGAGGGACGATGGCTTCATAAATTACTGGCTGCAGACGATCCTGACTCTAGCGAAACGAATAAAAGATCCACGCTGCAGATGCTGGAGGCTTCAGTCCTGAGAACAAAACACAAACTTTCCCCTGTTTTGAAGGTTTTCGTACCCTTTTTCACAGACATCATACCGCTCATGAACGAGGCTACGGAGGCTGCTGATGAGCTCAATTCAGACAACTTGAATCTCTAACGACACTCGGAGACAAATTTTATGAGATGTGGTTTAAAGTTTTCCTACGTGCACTGCCGTCATTGCCCAAGACCTGGGACGAAGTTTTGAAAACCCCAATTTGATCACGGAGACGCTTTCACGCTCGGCCATGTCGTCTCATCCTACATACCACCGTCGCTGCTCTCCTTACCATGATCCCAGGACTATCTGCATGTGTCTACTTTGTCGAGTTAGCTGTTCGTTGCACCCTGAGAGGTACACACAGTGTGATTCGATTTATTATTTGACCTGTAGTGACAAAGGTTTGAGCCATCGGATCCCTGGTCGCATAGCTCAGTATATAAATAGAATATAGCACATTTGATAAAATGATTTACTTTTAGGCAGCACGGCGAAACAGTGTGCTTTAATATACAGAGCAAGTCTGAATGACCAGTACATCGATCAGTGCTATGATTTCTGAGTGGCTCGAATTACGATGGACTTGAGTTTGCTTCTAGCTTTAGCTGATCTTTGATGGACAGATGGCGGCCGTGTCGTAACAAGGATTGGTGACAGCTATTCTGCAGGGTGGCAGACGGCAGTGCTTAGACTCTGGTACTATGGCTGTCCTGGGTGCAGTTGCAATGAATGAGCAAGATAAGCATGTTGAGGATGTCCATACGGGGGTAATCCCAGAGGGATGCTGACCAAGCAGGGCCCATTGAGGCAGGTGTTTAGGTCTAAAAACGCACACCTCGAGGCACCCGTCTGCCGTGGATCGCTGGCCAGCGTCGTGTTCTCGGTGATTAGTAGCAATGAATGCCAATTGAGCGAGCGCTAGTGCTATCGTAAGAATCTGTAACGTGCCTCGCCTTTCGCACGGTGGCCATCCAGTCCTCTTTATAGTACACCTCCTCCATCTTCTTCTTCTTCCTATCTCCTGGCTGCTTGCTCCCATGAGCAATGCGTCTCTTTTCTTTCTCTGTACTTTCCCTCCTCTCCCTCTCCCTCGCCTCTCCCTACCGTCCAGATCTCACCGCATACAACCTCAACATTAATCAGAATGCCCAGTCTCCCCTCCAGTACCAGTCCACACGTCCAAACACAACATACACGCCCTCCCCTCAGAACTGGCGTGCAATACCCTTCTATACCATCCTTTTGGACAAATTTGCTGACGGCGACCCCTCCAACAACCAGTTCTTCAACTCCATGTACGAATGGGACTGGCGCGAAACTCAGCTCAGGTATGGCGGCGACCTCAAGGGCCTCGTTTCAAAATTAGACTACATCCAGGCAATCGGCATAAAGGGCATATATCTCTCCGGCACAATCTTCCTCAACATGATTTGGCAGGCTGACAGTTCGTTTTTCCTCTTTCCCGATCCACCCGGCTTATTTCACTCATCTCCCTCCAGGCTATTCTCCACTCGACTTCACCGTACTCGACCCTCACTGGGGCACCATCGACGACTGGAGAAACTTCATAGACACCCTCCATGCACGCGGTATGTATATCATGGCCGACTTCACCGTCGGAACCATGGGCGACCTTCTAGGCTTTGATGGGTAAGCTTTCCTTATATATCTTTTTATCGATCGCTCATTGCTCCCGCTTCCCTCCTCGGTCAATTACCTCCGTAAAGTTATCTCAATGTCAGCGCTCCCTTCAGTCTCAACGAATACGATGTCGTATACAAAAATCCTTCTTATCTCCCTTGGAACTTTACTGAATACGTCGACTTTGATGTGTGTTTCATCCCTTCATCTTTTACCCTAGCTCATTCCCTCCCAGGTCATCAATGTCCGAAACGACTCGTGCCAGATGCCTGTCTTTTGGCAGGACAGTGGCGTGACCCAGCCCGTAACCACCAATGGCTGTCTCGAATCAGATTTCGACCAATATGGTGACATGGAGGCTTTCGGCGTCCACCCCGACTGGGAACGTCAACTCTCTAAGTTTGCCTCCGTCCAAGACAGACTCCGCGAATGGAAACCATCCGTTATGGCGAAATTGCAAGTCTTTGCATGCATGACCATCACAGCCCTCGACATTGACGGCATCCGCGTCGACAAGGCTACGCAGATGACTGTACAGGGCATGGCGGATTGGGCCACTGCCACAAGGCAGTGCGCTACAAATCTCGGAAAGGACAATTTTTACATCACCGGAGAAGTCACCGGCGCCGACACCTTTGGCTCATTGTACATGTAAGTTGAAAAGTTTCTCCATCATTCTTGCGATCCCGTCTGACTTGGGCAGTGGCCGAGGACGCACCCCAGACCAAAAACCCCCTGGCTTCCTCCAATCCGCAAACCTCACCGAATCAGAGAACCAGTACTTTCTACGCACGCAGAACAACAATGGCATCGATGGCTGCGCCTTTCACTACTCCATCTATCGCTCCCTCACTCGCTTTCTCGGCATGGACGGAAATCTTGAAGACGCATACGACATTTCTAATAATTTTGTTACTGCCTGGAACGAGATGTTTGTCAACAACGACTTTATCAATCCCAACACTGGAGTTGTCGACCCCAAGCATCTCTATGGTGCGAGTAATTTCGATGTCTATCGGTGGCCGAGCATCGAGAATGGGACGCTGAGAAGTGCATTGGCGACTTTCATCACGTCTTTGGTAATGCCTGGTGTGCCTCTCGTAAGTACATTCCATTCACATTGATCTGCGCTAATGCTTTTGCAGTACTATTATGGAGAAGAACAAGCCTTTTATCTATACGACTCCACCGCCGCCAACTATCTCTTTGGGTACGTCACTTCTTTCGAGCTTACATGCCCTCTGACCTTGCTATAGGCGCCAAGCGATGATGAGCACGAAAGCCTGGCAGCGACATGGCTGCTACAAGCTTGGCTCTCTCCAATACTTTAACATGCCCCTCGAATCCGCGTTACTTGGCTGTGAAGACGACTGGAACTCGCTCGACCACTTTGATCCAACATCATCTATGCGTCGGCTCATGAAGCACTACTTATACCTCCGCACCACTTACGCCTCTCTGCAGGACGGCTGGGACCTTGTTCAGCGAGGGAACTGGACGTATTTTATTGATCGCCCAGGGTCAAATGGGACGGCGACGGAGATGGGCCTGTGGAGTGTATCACGCGCAGGGATCTCGGGGGTCCAAACCCTAAACGGCACACACACCGACCAAGTCTGGCTCCTCTTCTCCAACATGAACACCACTCAAACCTGGTCGTACGACTGCACAAGCTCTCTTTGGATCAGCGCGCCGTACCAGGGCGGGACGACGGTGAGGAATCTGTTGGCGCCGTATGAGGAGTATGTCTTGGCGGACTCTTTGTCGAGCTATTATGCGAATGGGACGGGGCCGTATTATGGGTGTTTGCAGAGTGTGGAGATGGATGTTTATGGAGTCAAGGTGCTTGTGCCGGTTACGGAGTGGGTCTCCCCACCGCCTATGCTCACGCGCTTCCTTCCCGGCCACGATGCACGAATCACGTCAAAAGCGGGGAGCGCGAACGACTCGCAGATCGACATAGTCCTCGAGTTCAACTTGGCGATGTCGTGCACGAGCGTCACCTCCAGCATCTCGTTCAACATGTCTTCTTCGGGTGTGAGCAGTACGGTGGCGGTGGATCAGGCGAGTGTGGTTTGTGGGAACGTGAGTGCGCCCGCTGTAGAACTTATTTCGGGGGTGTCAGGCTCGGTATGGCAGTGGGCTGCGACGGTGACGGGTGTGCCAGATGGGATATTAGAGATTATAGTCAATAACCCAACAACGCAGGACGGAACCGCGTCTACAAATGCCATCGACCATCTCCTCCTCCGAAAGGGCGCTGCGAATAACATCATGGTATTCCCCGACTCTGACTACGACAACAACGCGTTTAGGCACTTTAATGGACAGTACACATTCACGCACCAGGCGTTTGGCGCGGATATGTTTAGGTATTCGGGGAATTATGGGCAGAGTTGGTCAGCGTGGCAGAATTGGGAGAATGTGACGGTGATTCCTACGAATATGTTTGAGAATTCGACGAATTTCTGGACGGGGCAGCATGTCATGGTTCAGTGTAAGCCGTTTTCTCTCTCATTGAGTGGTTGTATGCTCATAAATTGATGAACAGACTGGAGCGAGGTTGCCGCCTCTTCTAGCGTCGTCGCACATGCGGATCTTAACTACGCCACAGAGCGTCGTGTCCCTCAATTCCTCGTTCGAGGTCCGTTCAACGACTGGGGGTACGACCAAGGTATATCGTCTCTCATGACGCAGGATGGCGACGGGACGTGGCAGCTCGAGATCATGGCTACGTGGCCTACGTACGTGCAGCTCAACGTGTTTGGATACGACGATTACTTTTACGGGGACGTTGATGGGGACGGCGTGATGGACCGACTGCCCCCCAACAGTATTGCTCCAAACTACCTCAACCTCTCTGCGCCACCCTACCCGCACCTTGCCTGGGCTCTTTTCGTAGACGATGCGACTATGCAGTGGAGTTTGCAGCCCCGTGGAGAGTCTTCTGTGGGCGCGATCATGTTTGCTCTGCTGTTGACGATTCCGTTGATCACTGCAATGCTCGCTGTCGTCGTGTTCATGTGGTCTTTCTATGGTATCAGGCATAATAAGTATGGTGTGAAGATGAGCAAGCCCCACAGCAAGTACTTCCCCATCATCGGCGGGATTGCCAATCGCTCGTTCACGGAGCTGAAGGACACGACGATCATCTCTGAGAAGCTGTTTGGGAACAAACGACATGTGGATGTCATTGGCTGGCCTGAAGATAAGAATAAGCGGCGTAAGGTCCTTATCGCGACGCTCGAGTACGAGATCATCGACTGGAAGCTTAAAGTCAAGATCGGTGGTCTTGGTGTGATGTCGACTCTAATGGGCAAAGCGATGACGGATGTAGATTTGGTGTGGGTGATCCCCAAAGTAAAAGATATCGACTATCCCGCCGGAGAGCCTGCAGAGCCTATCGAGGTCGTCATATTTGGCGAGCCCTATTTGATCGAGGTGGAGACGCATGTGTTGGACAATATCACGTATGTCATACTCGACAGTCCTGTCTTTCGCGCGCATACAAAGTCGGATCCGTACCCAGCCAGAATGGACGATCTCAGTTCTGCGATATTCTATTCGACGTGGAATCAGGCGATCGCGACGACGATCCGACGGTTCCCGCTCATTGACATTTATCACATTAACGACTACCACGGTGCGCTCGCACCCATCTACCTCCTCCCCAAAGTCATCCCGGTCTGTCTCTCCCTGCACAACGCAGAGTTCCAAGGGCTGTGGCCGTTGCGCACCAAAGAAGAGATGAAGGAGGTATGTTCGGCGTTCAATATCAGCAAGGAGCATTGCACCAAGTATGTTCAATTTGGGAACACGTTCAACTTGTTGCACGCCGCTGCATCGTTTATCAGTGTCCATCAGAAGAGCGTTGGCGTGGCGGGTGTGTCTGATAAGTATGGGAAACGGAGTTGGGCGAGATATCCGGCGCTTTGGACACTTAAGCATGTCGATTCGTTGCCTAATCCTGATCCGAGCGATATTGCAGCCCTCGACGAGAATCCAATCGCGATTCGTGACGTGAAGATCGACGAGGCTGCAGAGGCGGAGCGTCCTGAGCATAAGCGGCAGGCGCAGGAGTGGGCTGGGATTAAGCAGGATCCCAACTCTGATCTGTTCGTGTTTGTGGGACGGTGGTCGAAGCAGAAGGGTGTGGACCTTATCGCTGATGTCATGCCATCGCTGTGAGTGCAAGCCATTCGTGTCAATAGTCGACATGGGGGAAATGACTAACAAGGCCTGAATGATTTTTCAGCCTCCAAAAGCGTCCAAGGATCCAGATCATCGCCGTTGGTCCTGTGATTGACTTGTACGGCCGTTTCGCTGCGGAGAAGCTGGCGCGTCTGATGGAGATGTATCCTGATCGGGTGTACTCCAAGCCTGAGTTCACTGCGCTGCCGCCGTACTTGTTCAGCGGTGCTGATTTTGCTTTGATCCCATCTCGCGACGAGCCGTTTGGTCTTGTTGCTGTGGAGTTTGGAAGGAAGGGGGCGCTTGGTGTGGGCAGTCGTCTTGGTGGTCTTGGTCTCATGCCTGGTTGGGTGCGTATATCTTAGTTATTTTCTTTTTCAACTTCGCGTCCTCACCAATTCGAATAGTGGTATCCCGTAGAGTCGAGTTCAACAGGCCATCTTCTCTCTCAGCTGTCCAAAACTATCAAAATGGCTCTCAGATCGACGGAAGAGGAGCGCGCTGTCCTTCGAGCCAGGTCTGCTGTACAGCGATTCCCCGTCGTCGAGTGGCGCCAGCGCATGGAAGACCTGCACAAGCGTAGTATCAACTCGAGTAGAGGTATTGCCGGCGATAATGCTTGGCGTGAATCGGATTGTGGTTCTGGGGAGCCTCAGGTGGTGGTCGAATCAGACGACTTCAGTCCTGCGAACGAGAGTTTGCCTTTACAACCAGAATGGGACGTCCAAAGCGTGCCTTCGTCTCCTCTCGTGTTCCCCAGTTCACCAGGTCGATGGAGCCGCGAAAGTTTGCCAATGTCATCGAGTGGTGAGGCCTTCCTTGCTGCTAGTACCCCTCCACGTTTGGTTGGAAGCAATAGAGGGACGAGCACGGATATGTCGCACGACGATAGCTTTTCGGCAACTAGTCACAGTATGGTGAGTCCCGATAACCAGGGCTTTGGTCATTTCTTGGAGAGGGCGAATCGGACGATTGCGCAAGGTCAATTGAATTTGCCTGATCCATTCTTGGATGCACCACCTACGAGACGCTTTGTTTCCCATACGCGAGTCCTGTCTTCTGAGTCGATCGGTTCTATCGTCGAAGAAAAGTCTAATTCACCCCTCAACAAGGCGATTGCTTCGGTAAGTTCTTCTTTTTTTTTGTTCTCGCCTTGCGCATTTTAAGGATGATGCTGATGGGAGCTGGGATTATAGTTTACAGACTCGGATGGTGGAGTTGCGCAAGAGTTTGTTCAAAAACTCCAAGGGCTGACACCAGAGAATTCGAAGGGTGAACTTTCGATTGAGAAATACCTAGTAAAATCAGAAGAGGCATTCTTCAATAAGGTGCGACGGGAGAAGCTTTCCAGCGCCGCCAGTTACATCTCATCTCATCGAGACTCTACCTGGAGCTCGCATCTCCCTTCGTTGAATGATCAATCATTGCCGATGTGTATGTTAAATAAATACTTGTTTTTCAAAAAGCTCATGTGTCCTTTTCAGCTCCCAGTACCCCTAGCTCGGCACCTTTCGGCCACGATTATAGTGGCGCTGTACCTCCTGATAGTGATATAGTCATTATGACCAGGGTGCAGATAGCTCTGTCCCGAAAAATTGGTGGTTGGCCCTTGTATACTATTATTATTGCGCTTGGACAGGTTTGTTACTCATTCCACTGTTTCCTATGTTGTTATTCACCTGCCCGTTTGTCAGATGCTGGCGGCCAACAGTTATCAAATGACCTTGCTCACTGGCCAGAATTACCAAAACAATCTCCAACTGTATGTCCTTGGTGGTGTCTTCTTAGCCGCGTCCTTCGTTTGGTACGCTCTTTTCCGGTTCAAACCCTCGTTTTATATTCTCGCCTTCCCATGGTTATTCTATGGTCTTGGATTCTTTTTGATTGGACTGCCATCGGTGTCTCACAAGTTGGAACCTGCCTATGCTATCATAGCGGATCTGGCTACATGGTCGTATGCTGTTGGATCTGCAGCTTCCTTTGCGTTCTTCGGGTTAAACTTTGGTGAAGAAGCAGTAAGGATTTTTCCAATCTGGGTTGTATGCAGCATCACTGATTCTTTGCATAGGGTGCTGCAACCGAAGTCTGGACGTTAAGGGCTTGTATCGTACAGGGATCGCAACAGATATGGATAGCGGCTCTGTGGTATTGGGGTAACACGCTAAATGGTTCTAAGCCCGGATATATTCCTCCCTGGTGGCTTCTCGTCATTCTCTGGCCGCTGGCTTTCCTCAGTTTCTTCTTTGCATATCTCATGTTTGTTGGGCTGCCAGGTGAGGATAATATATTCAGGATTGCTTCAGTTACTGACGATAACCAGAATACTACCACCAAACACCTCCGAAGGTGCCCAATTTCCTGAAAACCCTCTTCCGTCGAAAATTGGTACTTTGGTGAGTAGTCTGTTGTACGACTGGATGACCAATATTAACAAATTTATCAAGGTTCCTTGCATCCGAAGTTTTACGTGATTACTGGCTCAGCGGTGTATGTATCATCCACGATCGACACAGTATCTGGCGCTAATGACGTTCTTTCAACAGCCTTATGGTCGTAACTGGGGTTTCCTCTGGAGCGTTCCTATCGCGAAGTGGCAGACTCTATTGCTCATCGTCCTGTTTTTCATCGGAGTTTGGGCTTTAATGCTTTATATCCTGACGCATTTGAGTAAGACTCACACTTGGTTGCTACCACTCTTTGCTGTTGGTCTGGGCGCGCCGAGATGGTGTCAGGTGTGTTGCTTATCGTGATAATAGTATTACTTTTTTCTGAGGTTAAACTAGACTCTTTGGGGCACTTCCTCCCTTGCTCTGTACATTCCTTGGGCAGGCAAAGGAGGTCCATACCTTGGACTTTCTTTGTGGTTGTGGCTCGGTGTTCTTGATGCTATTCAAGGTGTTGGACTTGGAATGATTCTACTTCAGGTGAATAATACTGATACCAATGCATGCTTAATGGTACTCATTACCAATGACAGACGTTGTCACGATTACACGTCTGTGCTACTCTTGCGTTTGCCCAGGTCATCGGATCAATCTGTGTAATGGTCGCTCGTGCCACTGCACCTAATAGAATTGGTCCCGGTAGCGTTTTCCCAGATGTCGGGACCTGGGATTTCTCAAGCGGATTAAAAGGTCAGTATGCGCGTATGTTATTTTTGCAGCACTTATATAACTACTATGTTATTTGATCAACAGGCAGTCCGATGGCTTCTGCGCCGTTCTGGGTTGCTCTCATTTGCCAGATCGTCATAGTAATTGGCTACTTCTGGTTCTATCGTAAAGAACAACTGTGTACGTCTCAAGCTATATTTGTTATACTTACCCCTCTCCTAACTATTCTACAGCTCGACCATGATCACGATCTCAAAAATCCACAAAAATCTGTCACTGTGTTTTTTCATTATGGACTCGGATATTTTCATTCGCATTACGGTTATCTCGCGCCTGGGGTCGATTGTGCTATCACTGTTAG